ACCTATATATATTGTATAATGTAGTACATGACTGCATAGATCAAAAAACATGTATATTGGTTTTGCGAAGTTACAAATCCTAACCTGATGTCAGTTTTCCAAGCCCTGCAAACCTGCATTACTGCCTTCACATCGTCCATGGCCACAGGATTTGTTGGATCAAAACGTGCCTCCGGTGTCTGTGCATCTAAAATAGTTGCCGTCCTTTTTTTCTTGCAGGGATCAGTGAATGGACTCAACAATCTTGTCGCTGGCCGCTTCAGTCTGCACCCTTTGCCTCCCGCATCTTCTTTCTCAACCGTGTCACTAGCCTCCTTGTTCCCTTCATCACCAACTAGAGTTAAACTGGTTTTCATGGGAGGCCTCAGCTTGCCTCCCACCCCCTCAATTTCTGCCTTATTCCAATCCCCTAACAGCTGTAAGATTCTTTTACAAATAATTCTATACCCATCCCCATATTCTGGAGTAGGAAGGACAGCATCTTCAACACTAGGAACCTTGACATCTTCAGAAGTAGGAACCTTGTCTGGATGTTGGTGCACTTGTTTGTCCCCAACAGAATGGTCAATTATAGCGGCTTCGACTTCCATGGCTAGGAAGCCTTCCACTGCTGCAGCAGGCACTTCTGCTTCCATTTCAGCCCATTCTGTATGCATGGCTGGAAAGGCTTCCACTCCTTGACCACGCACTTCTGGTTCCATTTCAGCCCGTTCTGTATGCATGCCTACGAAGTCTTCCACTCCATCACCGAGAACTTGTGTGTCCACTTCAGGCGCTGGTGTAGTCGGACTAATAGGTTCATAGAAGGGTGACATTTCATTCTGCCCTCCTTCATTCATCTGACCAGTACACACTTCCTCATGCGCTTCTCCACCATAATTTTGTTTTAACTCCTCCATCTCCACCTTAAAATAATGTTCCACTGAGGCAATTGTCTGGGTCAAATCCTGAATAGCCTTTTTATGTTTGTCACACACCTTCTCGTGCTTCAAACAGTTTTTGTCTACAATCTCTTCCAAGTCACGCACTCTTTTCCTAAGCCCTCGATTTGAAGTGCGTAGCTTTGCCAACTGAGATTCAGTGCTTTGTAATTGATGCTTCAAACTGCAAAAGTCAGTAACAGACACTTTGCCCTGCATAAACTTATAATGCAACAGTTAGAAAGGTTACACAATATGAGATCAATATTTCTAGCTAAGTCCTATCATATTCTCTCAATTTTCACAACAGACTAATTATATATGACCACTTTTAATTCATTCATTGCCAAAATATTGGAAACAGCTCATGCTCACCTTAGAAGAGGAGGGAAGGGTAGCTGTTTCCTCAACTTCCATGTCTTTTTCTTCACTGGAACTGCTGGTTTTTTCTTCCGCCTTATCCCTAACCAATTGAACAATTTCTTCATTCTTCTCATCATCACCCCAACTCCAATAAGGTTGTTGCTTCTCAACATCAGTGGGACGCAGAATTTGCACATCAACCTCCAATTGAAACACATATAATAAATCAGTCAACTTTTGACTTTTTCCTAATCATAACATGATCCTTACGAACTGAACTAACCTCAAAGTTTTCAAAAACTTGACTCATAACCTCTCGAAAACGGGCCACCGTGTTGCTCCTCCAATGTAATATTCAAGGGATGTGCCTACTCTCTTCATGCACCGCGAAATGCAATGCTTCCAATGCTGGGAAGACTTCAAATGCCCAAATCTGTTTACAATAATCAAACATCAATGTCTGTAAATGTATTGAAATGAACTAAAACATTGTTGGATATTTGCTCACCTGAAGTGCGAAGCCAAACCCCCTTATGTTGTACTCTCTTGGTCTCCCACTTGCCATTCTTGTCTGCCCTCTCTTTCCACTTTTGTTGCTAATTTTTCTTTTTTTGGGCACTTTAACTCGTTGGTAATCAGCAGAAACTGCCCTCAAAAGTGAACCAGTTGTCATCGCATATGACACGGCGCCCCATGGATACTTGTCAAACTCTTCTAGGTCTTCGACCAACTTCAAATAGCGCATGTCAATGTTCACATGCTTTTCAGTACCCAATAGCACAAAAATGGCAAAATAGACCATTCCAAGCTTTACCGCATCCTCATCATCTGTGCAGTTGATGAAGGCAGTGTGTAGGTCCGAAAGGGTGGCAGGTTTATTGCTGCTGAAGTATTTTCGCTTCAACGAACAATTTTCATTTGTCGCCTTCGGAATGAAAGGGAGCTTTCCGAACCTTAGGCCCGTGATGAGGCAAAAGTGTTGGGTAGTGAATTGTATCAACTTGTTACCGACATTGAATTTTATCCCATTCACCTGTGTAACAGTCTTAGGATCAGCCTTCCTCATCAACAACCCGTGGACAATTTGTGAAGCCCACTTGAGGTCCTCTATCAGTAATAGATGACCAAAACAACTGGCCTCGAACCTTTGTAACTGCTCTGTACTCAACTTCTCCTTTATTGTTGTAATGGCGGTCCTTGCATGTGAAAGGGCTAACGGCTTTCCTTCGTACTTCTCATCCTCACGAATCATAAGCTTTGCTTTACAAGCCATTCTTGATTTCCCTGCACAACATCATACATATGGATCATTTGTTAGCCATATTTCCAACGTACATTACAGAAACTAATACTTTCATCCCATTTAAATATATGTATATACATATGACAAAACCATATATTTTTTCTTTTCTTTTCTACTCTCCAACTCTCTCCACACCCTGTTGTTATCCACATTCCCTTTTACCAAATGTACATTCCATTCCATCCACAAACCAAATACGACCCAAGTGTGAAGATCCAGTTCATGAACCACGGATCCACTTGATACAGGGTTTGGGCGAATGGCTACAACAATTACTCCAAATGCATCAATGCCTGCTAAAATCTACTCATCACCATAGTCATATACATGTCTAGTCATATGCAATATAGTAGGACACATGGAACATCAGTATTTAGACTTATGGAATCTGTGTACAAACTAGAACGTCAAAATGTTACTGCAACTGCTAAACGTAGATGGATGAACATGAAATTTGTAAACAGATAATGCAGCCCAATAAACTACAATTTTCATACATGAAAAGCTGCAAACAAGGAATAACAACAAAATTTAGCAGGTTTTATAGCACAGGGAACATAACAATCCCACGCCAATTAACATTATTATTTCAAAATCACATAATTAACCATTAACACTAGAACGGTGCAAAATATCCTACTACATGCTGAAACAGCAATGATAACAACTAATTTACTTCTGCATTCTTACTCAACAACTAATTTAGGGCCTACTGAGGTAAAATGGAATAGCCATTGCCACCACAATAAATTCCCACACTAAATATGCATCATCAAATGGAACTGAAAACATGTATCACAAACGAACCAATCATAGATGACAAATAGCAAATTCAGGCACTTCTTCGTCCATATAGCAAAATCAATCAGAGCAATAGAAGTTTCATCCAAGCATGAAGTAATTCACAGTTAAAATACACAAATTTCCAATCTCTCTAATTACTAAACTTCACATAATCAGTCGCAGGTTAGTGACATTATCCTTCTCAAATCAACACCATACAAAAACACAACCTAGTCAATAACAAATACAAAACCCACCTTAGAATCCCTCGTTTTGAGCAGACAACCGATTTGGAAATCCCACAAACACCTTAACAAAAGCACAAGTTTTTTCTATGAGATGATTGACAATGAGGAGGAAGTATGTGAAAAAAGTCGAAACCGAAACCAAGAATTAGGGTTTTTTGAGGCCCTCAACGAGCAGAGGAGAAGAGAAAGACGTCGATTGAAGACATGAAAACAGAGGGAACTCAGACATTGTTGAAGGGAGAGAGCATTTAACCAAGAAACCCTCTCTTTCACCTTCAATAACCCCCTCAACAAACCCTAACTTTGACTGCAGAGAGAGAACAAGAGAGTGACGCTTAGGTTTTCGCGACAGAGGGAGAAAGAGAGTCGTGGTGGTCGATGGAGAGAGAGCGCGGAGAGTGAGAGCTGAGTCACCAGAGAGTGAAGATACTGTGAGAGACGGAGCCAAAGAGAGAGCTGATTCGCGAGAGGTGATTTTCAGAAAAAGTGTTAGGTGAGCAATAAGTGTACAATAATTTTATATTTATAGGTATTAGTTGTAAAAAAATTGGGGAGGGGTGGTATTTTTAGTTAAGATTATAAAGTGGGTGGCATATATGGCTATTTCCCATGTTTATTTAACATGCTTTGTTCTTCATTTCTTCCAAAAAATAAACAAACGAGGCTTGTGGTGCGGAGGTTCGAGGGTTGGGATCTGGTGCGGGAGGCTACAGTTGAAAACCTTGAAGTATTTTCATATTAGGACAAGTGGTTTGGCCAGTGGCCGCAGGAGATTGAGGGGCGCCATGGGCAGTTGGCCACAGTACAGTTTGGTGTAATTATCACTTCACGTGATGGATACTATACACCACTTGATAAACTTTTTGACCTGATTGCATATTTGGCATTGACAAGTTGACAACATATAATATTTTATAATGAAATCATTAAAGAAAGAAATATCTTATCTTTTGCATCGCACTCCACGCCCATGGTGGAGACAGTAGCTTGCGCATCTCTCCCACTTTTCTTTTCTTTTTTCTTCACTATTGCCTTTGGTCTGCCACGTTTCATTTCTTTGTTGTAGTTTCCTGGCATTGATACTGATGGTTAAGTCATTTAAGAGCAGTTCCAGCAACGAGGGCTGGCCCGGGCAAGAGGTGGGGGCCACGAGATTGGGCTGGCCTGAGGGCAAGGCGAGCTTGAAGGTCTAGCCCGAGTTTTGGGATAACGTCAGTCTTCGAATTTGTTTTTTTTTATTTTTGCAATAAAATAATGAAAAAAATTTGTCATCAAGAGATTTATATGTTTATGCCTTTGGGCATGCATTGTGCTAATAAAACGTATTCATTGCCCAGGAAAGTCAATATATCTGTAATAATTAGAAAAAATGTATGTACTATAAGATTTGCAAACGTTAGCAATGTTATCTATTGTGACAAAAAAAAGCAGACCAGTTCTCTTTATCGAAGAAGCACACAGAAAATGGCTGCTGTGTACCACTCAAGGTCTTTCTCTTTTTGCACTTGTCCAATATCTACAAAATATGCACAAGGTCTCTCTGGACAGCCTTTGATCCGACAAAATATATTGCAACTTAACCACTTATAAGAAGCATTTCCAGCCTCCAGTAGAAAATTTCGAAGAGAAAAATCATTGTGAATCTTTATGTAACTCATGAATTTTCCATTGCACTTGAGATATGTTGAAAGTCTATTGACTCAGCAGACAGTTGAAGGCTGATGTTCTGTCTCAAATGATGATGAAGTGAGCGAGCCACACCATGTATGAACATGCTTGGTCTGTTCCTAGAAGTTCAAATTCGAATCATATAAATAAATTGATGGAAATAGGATTCTAAATGAACCATATTAAATCTTGCTGAAAAATTAATCTACGTAGACCCTTATGGAGAAAGGCATTTACATTGAAGTAAGCAGTTGAGGTGACATCTATGATTGCAGCATCAGCTTCAACTCGGAAATCATGCATGGTTGCCTACACAAGTTGTCTTGTCCTCCAGACATGGGAGAATTTCTCAAGTCTGCAAGTACACATGTAACATCTCAAGTCTCATGAAATACAACTTTGCAGCTAAAGGAATGATTTGTGGGACAAAAAGAGAAAATCGTTTGCACATAAGATATTATAAATGCAATATATATGCCAATTACCATAAGAATACCTCAATCATGTTGGAAGACACTACTTCTGGAAATAAGGAATTAGGCTCTAAGAACAGGTTAACTGATTCTTAGTTGATACTTACCCTCTAGATATGTAATATGCCTTCAACTTATAGTCCTATTTCTGTATCTTTGTAAATTGTGCATATGTACAAAATTTATTCGTTTTTTTTAAAACTGAGAAACACAACTTTCAGTAAAAAAATAATAGAACAATAGCAACGTATCCACCGTTAGCAAAAGCCAAAACAAAGTATCTCGTTGGTGCGCAATTTGTAAATTCCTACGTAAATTCATACCTGTGGCAGCTGTCAGTTGGGTGCCATGCATAAGTCCTTCCGGCTCAAGGTTGTGGGTACGCCCTGGCGCTAGTGGTGAGAGTAGGCAATCTCCCCCTAAACTTTTTTTCATCAAAAAGAGAAAACCATTACAGAACAACTCAAACACCAAATGAGCAAAACAGAAGCATTCCATCAAAAAGATCTAAATTACAGCTGCTTACCTATTTGAATAGATGACAGAGAAAGAAAACTCCCTGAAACCTCTTCCACAACTGATCCACTCTACCTCTCACTTCATAACATCAAAGACCCTCCTATGCCTATTACACCAAAGAGCAGCCGACCGGCTATACGTAAAAATATTCTAAAATAATATTTTTTTTGTACATCCGAGCGGCTATACGGTTAAAATATTATATTTAAGGAGTATCGTTGCGTGGCTATACTATTCAAAGGTATAGAATAGTAAATATAATATTTTAAAGGTATAGCCGTTGAATATATTATGTTTTAATTACTTTTATTTATTTAGTGAATAATTAGTATTTAAATATTTGAATTAATTTCATAAAAAAATAATTTATTATCTATATATATAAAGCAAAAGGTAGAGAATGGTGAAACATTCAAAATACCATAAGAATGCCCTTGGTTAATGCAAACATTAAGAATTGAAATTATTAATTAAATGAGGATAATATGGTAAATTCACACTTTTTCATATTAAAAAAGTTTAAAATGAAAAGAAAAATCAGATAATGGATCCTCTTTTTATGGAACACAACTACCCATTATCTTTTTTAATTCTAAAATAAATTTAATTTTTTTAAAAAAAAGTCTCTCGCAAGCGCGAAAGCGCGTGCGGATAGGCTAGTATTTAATGATCTTAAAGAATTTTGTGGAATGTAAAATTATTTTTAAAATAGTTTCAATTATTTAAAAATTCTATAAAATTATTTTATTATTCTAAAAATGGAATTTAAGTCTCCAAACCAAAAGTCCAAGTCTCGAAACAAAAACCATAGCTTTCGTACTTATCCGAACTTGTTCCAAAACCGTTCGCAAGCCTCGAACCCAAACTATAAACCTATTGTAGGGCACTTAGGACTCAATTAGGGTTGGATAATCACGTAACTCGACCCAGGGCTTTACGATTTAGGTTTCACTCTCAATCTTGGGCTCTGGGAAGATTTAATTAAGATGCCCAAACGAAAATGAGTAATTTATTTTTTAGTTTTTGCACAGTAGAATTAAATCAGTAACATATTTAAATATTCACTAAAGAAATAATAATTAATACGTAATTATTAATTAAAGTGATTCAAAAGGGCTAAGATATTACTTAATCACATATATTAAATTAAAGAAGTTGGCCAAAAAACAAAAGTGAAGAAATTAATTTTATATTTTTAAAATTCAATAAAAACCTCCCCAGATGACATTCCGTCGGCAATGGTGTCATTCGTCGGGAGAAGTCTAATTCGACAAACATTTGCCACCTGTGCCAACGAAACTTCGTTCGGAGAGGTGTTTTCTTAGTTTGCTATTCACAGGGTATAGCCGGACGGCTATACCTTAAAATGTTCTTTTTTTGGGTTATAGCTGTGCGGCTACACTGTTAAGAACGGCTATACCTTAAAATGTTCTTTTTTTGGGTTATAGCCGTGCGGCTACACTGTTAAGATATCATATTTTTAGAGTATAGCCGACCGGCTGTACGCAAAAATATTTTACATATAATATTTTGGCGTATAGCCGCGCGGCTAAACTATTTTAAGGTATAGAATAGCAAATAGAATATTTTAAAGGTATGGCCGTTGAATATATTATGTTTTAATTACTTTTATTTATTTAGTGAAGAATTAGTATTTAAATATTTGAATTAATTTCATAAAAATTAATTAATTATATTTAATGATCTTAAAGAATTTTTGTGGAATGTAAAATTATTTTTAAAATAGTTTCAATTATTTAAAAATTCTAGAAAATTATTTTATTATTCTAAAAATGGAATTTTAGTCTCCAAACCAAAAATCCAAGTCTCGAAACAAAAACCATAGCTTTCGTACTTATCCGAACTTGTTCCAAAACCGTTCGCAAGCCTCGAACCCAAACTATAAACCTATTGTAGGGCACTTAGGACTCAATTAGGGTTGGATAATCACGTAACTCGACCCAGGGCTTTACGATTTAGGTTTCGCTCTCAATCTTGGGCTTTGGGAAGATTTAATTAAGACACCCAAACGAAAATGAGTAATTTATTTTTTCGTTTTTGTACAGTAGAATTAAATCAATAACATATTTAAATATTCACTAAAGAAATAATAATTAATACATAATTACTAATTAAAGTGATTCAAAAAGACTAAGATATTACTTAATCACATATATTAAATTAAAGAAGTTGGCCAAAAAACAAAAGTGAAGAAACTAATTTTATATTTTTAAAATTCAAAAAAAACTCTCCCGACAACAGGAATTTATTTTTTATGTTTAGGTCCTAAATGCACCATAGAATCATATAACATCTCAAGTCTCATGAAACAAAATTGGACAAAAGTAAAAATTAAAAAATTGATGGAAATAGGATTCTAAATGATCCATATTAAATCTTGTTGAAAAATTATTCGACGTAGACCCTTATAGAGAAAGGAATTTACATTGAAGTAAGCAGTTAAGGTTGCATCCATGAATGCAGCATCAGCTTCAACTCGGATATCATGCATGGTTGCCTACACAAGTTGTTTTGTCCTCCAGACATGGGAGAATTTCTCAAGTCTGCAAGTACACATGTAACATCTCAAGTCTCATGAAATAGAACTTTGCAGCTAAAGGAATGATTTGTGGGACGTCAAAAATGAGAAAATCATTTGCACATAAGATATTATAAATGCAATATATATGCCAATTACCATAAGAATACCTGAATCATGTTGGAAGACACTACTCCTGGAAATTAGGAATTAGGCTCTAAGAACAGGTTAACTGATTCTTAGTTGATACTTACCCTCTAGATATGTAATATGCCTTCAACTTATAGTCCTATTTCTGTATCTTTGTAAATTGTGCATATTTACAAAATTTATTCATTTTAAAAAAAAAATGAGAAACACAACTTTCAGTAAAAAAAAATAATAGAACAATAGCAAAGTATCCACCGTTAGCAAGCCAAAACAAAGTATCCACTGTAAGTTCCTACGTAAATTCATACCGGTGGCAGCTGTCAGTTGGGTGCCATGCATAAGTCCTTCCGGCTCAAGGTTGTGGGTATGCCCTAGCGCTAGTGGTGAGAGTAGCCAATCTCCCCCTAAACTTTTTTTCATCAAAAAGAGAAAACCATATTACAGAACAACTCAAACACCAAATGGGCAAAACAGAAGCATTCCATCAAAAAGATCTAAATTACAGCTGCTTACCTATTTGAATAGATGACAGAGAAAGAAAACTCCCTGAACCCTCTTCCACAACTGATCCACACTACCTCTCACTTCATATCATCAAAGACCCTCCTATGCCTATTACACCAAACAGCCCAGTAAATTGTCATTACATCATATCTCCCAAAACCGTAGTCCACTTCTTTCCTCTAAAAAATTTAAGCTTCACAAACAACAATGCATTACACGAAGCAGGGTTAATCCAGCTCAATCTTACCTCCTTAACCCGCCGCAACCATAC